GCCGGAGCCCGGCGCTCCTTCCTTCCGCGGGGCCGGGCGCGCCCCCTGCGCGGGGCGGCGGCGGTCGGTGGGCGGCCGGGCGCCCCCGCCCCGCTCTGGATGCCCATCGCGGCTGCTCGGGCCGGGGGGTGGCTGCGGCTCCCCGGCGCGGGGCGCGGGCCAGGATGCCGGTGCTGGAGCGCTTTTTCCCCGCGGCAGAGCCGGGCAGGCGGAGGAGGACGGGGGAAGAGCCGATGCCCTTTCCCATGGGCAGCCTGCCCGGTTATCAGCAGGGAACCCTGGCCTGGGATTTGCCCGAGATGATCAAGATGGTAAAGCTGGTTTGGAAATCCAAGGGAGAGCTCCGCGGGGCGAAGCACAGAGGGGTTCTGGAGAGCGAGGATGCCCTGGGCGGTTCGGCAGGTAAGTGTCCCCCGCCCTGCTGCTCGGAGCAGCGAGGGAGCACACGCAGCTGGGGCCCGCGGCCGGAGCCGGCCCGTCCCGTCGCGGGGCAGAGCCGCCGGGGCCCGGGGCTGGAAAGGCGCGGAGCGCTGCCTGTCCGACCGGCGGCCGGGCTGGAAAACGTGCTTTTGGCAGCTCCCTCCCCCGCGGGGACACGCATACCGGAGTTTGTGCCGGATCTGAAACCAGGTCCATTTGCCGATGGCGCTCTCCCGGTCCAATCTGTTGCGTGGTTTTATACCCAGAGTGATAAAAGCTCGGCTGAAAACTAGAGCAAGTAGCTCCGTGGCTTTGAGGCTGACCTCGGCCAGCCGCTGGGCTGGGTGCCGGCGCGGGGGAGCCTCTCCCCGGCCCGCACGGAGCTTGGCACGGCGGCCCCGCGGTCACGGTGACGGGGGAGTGGAGCCCCGGGGCCGCCGGGCAGCGCGGCCGCTACGGGAGCTTCCCCGGTTGCTTTCGTCGTGCCTTCCGAGCGCATGGCCTGTCCTCTCACACCGCCGAACACGCACCGATCTTTGCGTGCACTGGGCTCATATCACATGCTCTGCCCGCGCTTCCCTTGTGCAAAGCGGAGCGACTTCCTTACGACTTGTGTGTTGTTGGCCACCGGTATGAAAAGCTTGAGACCAATTCTTGGAGTAACGCTGCCCCATCCCACTACTTTCTCTTTAAACGTGCTGTATTACTGGCTAAAGAGCACATGCTTTCCTATTAACTATAAATCTTGCATGTCAGTATTTTCCTAACTCAGCAACATATGGCACCACATCACGTGATTTATGGAAGTCCAGGTTAGACTTAACTACATTTTCATTAGGTAGAGACGAGTTGTCAGGTTAGCATGGTACTTCTGTTCTAATTCTGCATCTTGACCCATGCTCCGCATTGCTTATGGTTCAAAACGTCTTGCCTTATGTTGGAGGCAACGTCTTACCTCCTTCAAAACCTCTTGCCTTCTCTTGAATACAGGGTCGTAAGGCTATAGTGTCAACTGCAAATGTTTTATTCTCCTGTAATTGTATTACTGTGATTTAATAGACTTAGTGAAACTGTGTGGCTCATTCCTTCAGAACTCTGCATTATCTCATCTCTGCAACTTGGTCACTAAATTCTTCCAATGCACTCAGTCTTCAAAGATTATGTCTTCACCTTCTCTTGGTGTGCCCTTTATCGAGATCTATAATTGACAGTATTTTGTACCAGAATAATTTAATTTCCTAGGTAAAATAACCTCACTGTAGGTATTCAGAGTGCCTGTGTGTATATGTATGTATGTATTCTCTGTGTAATTGTATAAATAAACTTGAATATTAAATAAGTATTGGTGTATCACTTTTGAATGCCCACTAAGGTTGACTGGTTGGCCGTTGTATGTTCATTATTTCAGATGTTTGCAGTTTAACCAAAAAATGCTGGGTTCCCTTCTGTTTTGAAAAAGGGAAGATAGTTCTTGGGCTCTGAGGAAGATGTACAATTGGCCACCCCACCCTTTGGGAATCACTTCAGCTTAAAAGAATAATAAGTAAGAGTATTGTGGATAATGAAAGAGAAGGTCAAATTGCTCTTTAAGACATGGAGCAAATCAGCTGGGAAGGTAATGTAGCCAACCAGGGAGATTGAGGTTTGTGTGGTGAATGCCGAGTGTTCAGAGATGGACCCTAATCAAACAACCTAAGAAATGCTGCAATGGTTACACCTTATGTTTGAGTAATAGTGGTTTTTCAGTGTGCTTATGTTTTATCTGGTGAAATTACTTTCATTAGGTAACAAATGAGATTCGCCTTCAGATTCCTGGAGGCAAGTAAAAATGAGCATGAATGTACAGAGACAGATTAGTCCACTAGCAGGATGTGAGTAACTTGCATTTACTCAAATGGCCATTAATCGTATCCTGTGGAGGGACAGTCCTCTTCATGATGCCAGATCCTATTTCATAAGCTCAGCTGACTTGCACCAGTACAAATCAGAGCAGAAGATGACTCTTAACTCTCAACACTTTAAATACGAATCATCAGACAGTTTGTGAACCAGACCTGGGTTGCTGGTTTTTCCTCCTCAGCAACAGTCATCCTAGTAGTTTTCCCTCTTGTGGTTTCATTTTAGTCACTTTAAGTACATTGGAGTATGTGGGAAAACCAGTAAATGCTGAAATCTAGTATACTTTATTAAGTGCAGAGTCAAAGAATGCAGAAATGGGAAGAGAAGATAATAATTTGGAAGACTCAGTAGTTTGAAGTACTCAGCTTCATGTTTGTATGGTATTTTGTACATGTTTGACTCCTTAAAAAAATGAACAAAAATGTATCATTTACATGTTATAAAAGAGGCAGTACATAGTTGGGAATCAGATTTTCTTCAAGTGAAGTTAAAGCAAATAACTTCTGCTTGAGGTACTGCTAGCTAGGCAAATAAATGTTGATTGTTCAGTAGTAGAGTTCACAACACTTTCCACATCAAGGGCTTTTTCATTTGAATTTTTAAGTGTTCATGTGATAACTTATGTTCTGTTATCACATCCTCGTAAAACTACTTTGCTTACAGTAGAAGAGGAAATAGATATGAATTCTGGAAGGAAACTGTCAGGATTTCTGCCTTGCTTGATCATGATAATAGAGATTTAGCTAAGCAAATTGGTTTCCTTGCCTGAGTGATTGGACTGGGTTTTGAGCTGGCTTTCAAGAAAGTTACAACACTCTTGACCATAGGTAGTGAGGAGGAAGGAGAGCTATATCTGCACATGATGTGAGTTCTGTGGATGGCAGTGTTTTGGGGACCCACATAGCCATAATTTATACCACATTCCTCTTTCCTGAGGTAGGAGTAGAGAGATGCTAGAGAGCAAAACTATCTGTGCGTCCTGGGCTCTCAAATGTGAGACCTGTGTCTGGGTCTTTCATCTTGTTCAGTACTGAGAATAAGCTACATAATCTCCCTGCAAAAAAAGTGTTTGCAAGACATCATGCAGCATATAGCTGGGATGAATGAAGAACTCTGATCTCACAGAGACTGCCTGCCTGGGATGATGATGATTTATTTTCACTGCCAAAGCAATAAAATTCACATCTTGAGCCTTCTTGTTGCACTGCTTTTTAAAGTTAATATCAGTTAAAACTACAGACCTTTCTCCTGCTCCTGGCCTGCTGTTGCTTGGTAACTCTTTTTTCCCCCCATTTCAATCCCTGACCAAATCGACACAAAACTGTGGTTTGGTGAAGCCTCTCTCTGGCTGTGCCAGAAGCCATTTTGTTGGGAAATTGGTATAATTTGATATCATTCCTTATAGTGTTTTGAATAGATTACTTGCAAGCCAGTCCTTTTGACTTGATTAAAATAACAGCATGTGTTGATTCTTACCTGAAACTATGTTGATCTCTAGGAGGGAACTGTGTTCTGTTTGTGACCCTAAGTTTTTTATCACCCTTTCCTAGAGTTTGGCAGTATCTTTGCAGATTAAACAAACCTGATCAGGGAACAGGTACAGGTTTGCCTCCAAGAGTCTTCCTTATGAGCATTAGCAACCTCTTAAACTTGCAGTGATCATCCCAGATAACTCCAGGGAGACTTTGTGTATTGAGTCTTGCACGTGTGCAGACATGCAAGACTTTCAGAGAAGGTGCAGTGTTACTTAGAATTATCAAGGTCTGTTGAGAACACTGGGTTTTTTGAAGTAACTCTGAATGTTTTTTTCCACTTATCTCTCTCTGTCTGTACATATTTTCTCAGAAATGTAGGTTCTGATTCATGAATGCATCACACTTCTTAACTGATGAGTCCCTTTGCCATGAGTAGGAAAAACAAACCAGTATTGCACATCACTCCTATTACAGTTTGCTTCTGGGAAAATTTCTGTCGGTTGTTGGTGTGTCTGCTTCTCCTCTTCAATCAAGAGTCTCCTTTCCAATTCAGTAATCCATTCAAATATCTTGCCATTGTCCAAACTGATGTTGCTCTTTCAAACCTTACAGCTGTGTGCTGAGCAATCCTTGTGATACACCCGTTAGAGAGGTCATTGTCAAATCATATGTGCTTCTTTGGTGGTCACTTGAAGGTCTTCCCTAAAGTTATACACAGGACCTCCCAAAGACTCGGTTCTTCGTGGTGTCCAAGGAAACATACCTTCTACTTATTTTTTTTTTTTTTTTTATATAACAAATTTTATCATGCTGTGCAATAGCTTTGCTGTGCTTGTTAAAATAAACTTCATGCTTCCTCTTCCCATCATTGCATCTGGAATCTGACCCAAAATGATTTGAGTCAGAAGGAACCTTTAAAGATAATCTAGTTCCATCCTTCCTGCCATGAACAAGAACAGGGACCTTCCACTAAACCAGGTTGCTCAAATTCGCATCCAACCTAGCCTTGAACACTTCCAGGGATGGGGCATTCACAACTCCTCTGGGCAACCTGTTCATGTGTGTACTTGCTGAATTTTGTTTAGTTGGTACACCTTGAAACTCGTGCATGTGTTTGTAGTTCCACTGTAATAACTAATAATCATGCTTAAAATCTGTGAATTACTGAGAACCAAATGGGGCTTTGGCTAACAGCTTCAAAAGGTCATCATTTTGTGTAATTGGTGTTGAGCATGTAGGTGCCACAGAGGTAGATCCAAGCAGTAAATAAAACATGGGAGGTATCAAATGGCATTATCCTAGCATCTGACCAGTCTCCTGTTATTCTTTAGATTGAAATCAGCTTTCAGCTTTGTTTATGTCCTACTGAGAGATGCACAGCAGGCAGGAGGGCAGCTTGCTGTATATTTCCTTTTTTTTTTTCCTCCACCAAGTTTTATGCTGAGAATTGTTAAATCCATTATGGTTACTAGGGACAAAGAAAGTGAATTTGATAGGATCAAGGCTACCTGTGGCAACTTTGTCTGCTCTCAGACTGTTGTGTTGGAACACCAGCCCCTGAGAAGAAGTATGCTCTTCTATATTCTTGTGAAGAGCTGGTTGAATCAG